GTGCAGTAATGATATAGGGGCCCCTCAGTGGGGGGCAGTAATGATATAAGGGCCCCTCAGTGGGGTGCAGTAATGATATAGGGGCCCCTCAGTGGGGGGCAGGAATGATAGAGGGGCCCCTCAGTGGGGTGCAGTAATGATATAGGGGTCCCTCAGGGGGGTGCAGTAATGATATAGGGGCCCCTCAGGGGGGTGCAGTAATGATATAAGGGCCCCTCAGTGGGGGGCAGTAATGATATAGGGGCCCCTCAGTGGGGTGCAGTAATGATATAGGGGCCCCTCAGGGGGGTGCAGTAATGATATAGGGGCCCCTCAGGCTGCGATGAGATCTGACTCTCGGGGGATCGCAGACATTTCCAGGTGAGACGACAATCAGTGCAGGAGGGGGCGGAGCCACACAGGTGACAGACAGGTGAGGGATCAGGTGAAGCGGAGGGGGGAGGGGAGAAGTTTCATAGGGAACTAGACAGGTGAGTGGGCGGGGCAGCTGCGGGGACACAGGTGAGAGTTCTGCCGTCACATCCAGGAAGAGAGGACCGGAGACACGAATCACAGACAGGTAACATCACCTGTCCCCCCCCCGAATGTGAGGGGGAGGGGAGGGGGGTCCACGGATGGGATTGTTGTAGTAGAGGAGAGGCCGGGAGAGCGATGAATGAATCCGGATGTCCGATCTCTATGGATACATTGTGTCACGTTTTCTATGATTAGTATTTGTTGTCTTTCCTGTAACAAGTTCCGGTTGTTGTGTATCAGGTGAGGTTGGTGTCTGATCGTTGTGGGCGTGGTCACGACGGGGCGTGGCCACGACGGGGGTGTTTGGGTGCCGACCCTCATTTTGCTACCTTTTGATTACACACGAGGACGCAGTTCATCCAATAGATGAGGGCGAGGAAACCTCGTCACTCCGGCTGCGGTGGGACTACAAGTCCCATGAGGCATTGCAACACTGACAGTCCCGGGCGTGACTCCCAGGGGCATGATAGGGTTTGTAGTTTTACCACAGCTGTCACGACAAGGTTTCTTCCCCCCTGTAATACGCTGAGGCCCCATTTTATATCTCATCATGGCGGTGACACAATGCGCCTCGCTTGTGTTGTTGCGTGTTGTGTCGCAGTGCTGGGTCTTGTGTCGCGGCGCGTTGTGGTGAGGTCAGTGCGTTGTGGTGAGGTGCGTTGTAACTTAGTAACATCAGTTGTGGGCGGGGCGACGTTGTAGTAGTGAGAAGTGGGATCCTCCGTGTCATTGGGGCCCCGAAATCTCTGACATTCTGGTCACGTTGTCCCCTCCCCCCTCCAGGTGATCGGCTCCACATGAAGCATTGACATCTTATGGGGAGCGCGGGGATCGGCTTCCTGCCGGGACAGAGGACATCTTACATGACTGAACCCCTCTGAGCACAAGGTGAGAGTCCTGACACACCATGGGGGGGGGGGGGGGGGGTCACACGAAGACTGAAGGGAA